ATTATATTATAATATAATCACGTTAGGAATTATAATTATACAAAATTAAATTAACGAGATAATTTATAAATATCTATTCTAATATTTTTTTCTCTTTTTTCTCAGGTTAAATAAAATATCAGAAGATCCAATTCCGTAATAGCCACCGTTACTGGCCTCTGTTCTCAGGTTGCTTCTCGACAATAGGTAAGATCCTTCAAATTATGCCTTTTTTGACAGCTTGATTTCGGGGTATTTTTTATTTTTTTTCAAACTAATTTATTGCTGCTCGTGCTTTTTGATTTGCCTTCTTCTTGATGTGCTTTGTTTTACACATTTTGCTCGGTATGAGTTATGACCTTAACTTTCATTGTTGCAAAGCCCAAGGACCAGAAGCATTCCCTCAAGGAACTTACTGGCAAGCTCTTCCAGAATATCAGTTATGTTAGTTGAAAAAGAAATTGGGGAGACAAGGAGATAACCCCATAGTTCTTTATCAATTTAGGGTTGTGAAAATTTAGACTAACTGAAATTCTTAATTTTCTTTTCTCTTTTGCATGTTTTACAGCTGGATCATGCAGCAAGAGTTAAGTGCAGTCCACAAGCAGAGAAGTACTAAGTTCAGAACGCATGGTTAACATGAAATATTGTCATACAATCAACTTTCCAAAAGCTTAGTTTATCGGGTGTGCCCCTCAAAGTTCAAACAATGGGTTAGAATAGAAATATAGAATGATTGAAGATTGTCAAAAATAGGGCGTGAACGTGGAAGAACTTGTATAACCAACTTAATGAAAGTACTGGTTGTCACTACACTAAGAGCCAAAGAAATCGTATGAGGCTTACATCTTAATATTGAACCCCCTTGGGTACCGCTCTCATGGATGAACAATGTACCTCCCTCTGGACCGTGATCAATTCTCAGATCAAAGGAAAAACAAAAATTTATTAAGTTAAATAGATTCTTAAGACAGGTGCATCACATCCAAGGATGGGGAATAGTCAAATATTGACTAATTTGCAAATGAAACAACTACATGCGCAATTCATGTAGGAACTTTGATTATTGGGACCAACTTCAAATAAAGTATAAATCAAATTGGAGGTATAGTTTGATTCTCTAATTTTCATTCCGCATTCATCTAGTTACTATTTGGCTATGTGAGATATCATTTAGCATCAGAGCGGTTTAATTTCTTGTTTCTAATTTGGCTATGTTACATAGACGTGTCTAGTAAAAAAAAATTGATTTCAAGATTGTGATTTGAAAGTTTTTCGATGGAAAGAAGATTAAGAATCATAATATATATATATATATAGGACTTATCATTTCTCAAGTTGCCGGAGATAATTTTATCTCCGGCTACTAAATCATAACCGTACAAAGATGAATCAATGGTGATAAAGGAAGAGAGAGAAAAAATGAAGGTGGATCAATTAATAAAAAGAAATAAATAAACAAAACGATGTAGTTTTGGAGTGGCCGAAGAGAACCTTATCTCAAGTTGCCGGAGAAATGTTTTTCCCATATATATATTTATGGAAAAAATATTTCTCAAGCTACTTGAGATAAATTTATCTACGGCCACCCCAAAACTACGTCGTTTTGATTATTTATTTTCTTATATTAATTGATTCACCTTTGAATGGTTATGATTTTCTTTTTCTCTCTCTTCCTTTATCACCATTGATCCATTTTTGTACGATTATGATTTAGTAGCCAGAGATAATTTTATCTCCGGCAGCTTGAAAAATGATAAGCCGTATATATATATATATATATATATACATATATATATATATATATATATATATATAATTTTATGCTTTTATGTTTTTTGAATTATCGATTTTGTTGGGTGAAATTAAAATGAAAATGCGAATCCTTATGTAAAGAATTAATTTCACCAAAATGTTAAGCTGTTAGGTGAGGGCATTTTTAATAGTTTATACTTTATATTATTTTCTAACACGTTCCCTTATACGAGAGCCCGTTAGGCTTGAAGGGTGGATAATGCACATGCCTACATACCTGTGTTAATAGTGTTACAAAAATCGGACCTGCCGGTTCGAACCGAAAACCGATAAACTGGCCATATAAACAAACCGGGTAGCATAATACATCGGAGATGAAAGTGATTCGGCGTGTCCTAGTGCAAATCGAAGTGAACCAGCCGATTTTACTAAAATCGATGGCTCGTCGGGTCAAAAAAAAATTAATTTGGAATGAAACCGAACAGTGTAGACACAAAAAAGGAGGAGGAGGAGTCGAAAACAATGAAGAATAAGGAGTCGAAGACATTAGAAAAAGCATCGGCATGATGTCCGGCGACATTTGAAGAGAAGACATAATGAAAGAGAAAAAAAACTAAAATTTCAAAACTATGCCCAGGAGAAAGAGAAAATGAGAGGGAGGGAGAGAGAGAGACTTATGCAGATAAAATCATAAAACCATGCGCCCGTTTTACTTTTTGGTTTCATATGGGTCACTCATTTCTTATCTATATCTCCTTTTTAAATTAATTAAATTTACAATTCTTTATTTCTATTATTTTTAGTTTCTTTATTATAATGGGTATTGCATTCGTTTTTTGTATTTTATTTTTTATTTTGATGACATAAATATTTATTTTATGTCATACTTTTTAAAAAAATTAAAATATGAAATATAACTTTAGATTTATATATATTTATCTGGTTCTAGCGGTTAAACCAATGAGTGACCCACTGGTTGAACCAGTACCTCGACCGATTCGATCACCAGGCCGGGTCTGATAACTTGTGTATTAAGAAACTCCATAATACTGAATTAATGAATTAATTATTAATTAAAATAGGGACGATGAGGATCGAACCTGTAACACGAGGTCACATAACCAATTCAACCAAAAAACTTAAAGTGTTAGGTGAGAGATGGTTTATGCTATTGACACCTTTCATTATGACCTTGCTTAATATATTTTTTAAGTAATGTGAAAGTTTATCTCATTCCTCGTACTTAATTCTCTACAAATTTTAAAGTTTAATCGCATTTTAAATCTCAAGTCACAAAAGTAGTTTCCACTTATATGATACACTTAATGAATCGAAAGATTGACACACACAAAACTCGAGGGGCAACAATTATAAATAACAAAGTATATTACAATATTGCTTTAACTAATTATTAGCTATTTATTAATTTCTTTTTATCAAGTCTTACCACTACTAAAAATGGAATTTATTTACGTTTTCGGTCAATAATTTTGATAGAATTTTTTTCGTCGATAATTTGGACTTTTTTAGTAGTATACCACTAATTTTGTTATCATTAATTAAAATTAAATTAACAATTATAAAATGGCATCAATTGGGAGTTATTAATTTTATTTTAATCCAATCATAATAAAATAATTGTAAGAGGTGGTAAGAAAAAAAAAAGATAGCAAGTATAATCTGTATCTATTAAAAGTATAAAATATAAACTTGAAAAATAATGGTAAAAGACACCTGGTCCAGGATAGTCCATAATCTTTCTATTAGAATAGGCTCTATCATTAATTATGATTGAAATTCACGTACATAAATCTTATTATTATTAGAATTAACTCATAAGGTGTTTAAATGTTATACCGAAGATTTTAAATATTCAAAATAAATCTTAAAAGCGCACCACAGACAATATATTATGTTGCTGTTAAATTGAACCAACATTTGAAAAAAAATGCAAAAAGGTAAACCAAGCAACATGAACAACTTTGAAAAGACTACTAGATCAACACATAAATTATTTTAAAAGATAGAATTTTTCGTTATTATAAAATCAAGTTGAACGTAAACTTTATATACGCACGGCAACATGTTTGTTTATTTTACACATTTTAAAAATTTGAATAAATACATATATATTTGTAAATTTATTTTATAAATATGCTGCCAGCTGGCTGATAATTCTATTACAAACTCAAATCCCTTGTATAAAAAAGATAAAAGATCTCATACAAAAAAATAAAAAAAAAATCTAACATCATTCAAGTTACTATAAAAAGTTGACTGTAAGTTTATTTATAATCAACCTTGGAAGCGCTTTTTTTTTCATCTGACCTTGAAATATGTTATTCAAAAAGCAAAATAAAATGGTCTTTAAATATGGCATTTTTATAGGCTTTTTTTTTTTCAATATGAAAGTGTAACTCGCTTGCTTACTATTATACCAACTCTTGTTGAAAAAATTCATTATCTAAATCTGCATAAATATGAATTCATCCTCAATTGCGGGTAGCGATGCCAAGTTATTGATTCAGCTTTGAAGCCTATAAATCATAACTAAGAATGAGTCTTACTAAACTACGTGAACCTTTAAACGTGGAACACCTTTTATAGTCAATTGAAATCGTGACTTGTGAGGCACGTCTGAAACGGCGGTTCTTATGCTTCTTTGGAGGTTTGCACTTCAGACTTTAAAGGTTTTGGTATTCAACTTTCTGCCGAAAGAGGAAAAACTTTGTTCATACTGCTCCAACGATAGAATCAGTGTTGACTATATTAAACGAACGGTTCATCATCATAAAGTTTTAATTATCCTTAAAAAAATTTATTATTCTGAAACACCTTAGAATTTCTTGCATCAATGCAAACATGGCTCAGTTAATGTCAACATATGTATATCACAACGTTTTTAATTCATAATTAGCAACTTACGTGAGAGCTACCGGGGAACTACGTCACCATGCACTCCAAGGCAAAATGCTATTCCTGGAGTTGATTTCGTTATAAATTGCAACCTTGTGCCCAACAACTTCCCAACGTTCATTGAGTAGAATTGTAGTTCTTCCCTTTTACTCTGTCCTAAACTTTAGCCTTTTGATTCCCCATACATCGTCATTTCATCTCTTATCAATTCTACAGGTATTCTCTGTTGTTGCCTTTGGAACTTTCTTGTGTCATCAGGGTTTCATGGTTTCATATGTTTACTTCTATACTATAATAATATTAAGGGGTTTATTATTTTTGTTATTTTTAAATATAATTCAGTTTAGCCCATGTCGGTCTCCCCTAGTCCAGCACCATTAGGTGAACGATTGTGTGACAATGGTTTTGAATGTGTTGAGATTCTCCCTGCCACTGATGATGCCCATGGAGGAGTCATTATAGACTTGAAGGAGCCAATGGACTCTGAAGTTTTTGTTGTTTTGCTTAGAACTTCACTTTCCCAGTGGAAGCAACAGGTGATTATAATGATATCTATGTATATATAGCTTTTGAATGAATGATGCATTTGTTGCATTAATTAAGAATTATAAAATAAAATTCTCATTTGAAAATCAAGTGTACGTAACTACTCTTCTAGCTTCCTTTTATATTAACTCGTTCAAATTTCTGAAGTTTCCCAACTAATAAGCTATTTGACTGATGTTACGGTGAATTGTGTCCAATTTATCTTAAATTTGTCTCTAAACAGTTTCTTAAACCTTCATCCTCTGGCTTCTGGATTTTATTCCTAGGGCACACTCTAGTGTCATGTAGAGCTTGCATGCAAGTTCTTCCTCTCTGAAAGCCTCCAGAACTGATTTCAGAATCACCAATCACTCAACAAAATTTAAAAGAGAAAGATAAAGATAGAGGAGAGCAAATGAGGGAATCAAGTGTGAAACTTTGATCTTAACAAAACGTGTTTTTTAATAACTGGTATTTCAATTTCAGTATTTTGAATTTCTGTGATTTTGAAAAACACTCTATCCAAACACAAGGTCGGTGACTTATTTTATCGAAAAAAGAAATCATTATACTTCAACTTATCTCCTTGGAAGTCCTTATTTGTATGGATTTTTTGTGACTTCACGGTAAATGTGAGACAATGTTAATTTTCATCTAGTTTAAGCTTCAAACCTTAATAATTTTTTTTTGCTACGTAACTGTGGAGTAAGGTTACTAATTAAGAAAGACTGGTTCAACCATATATATACTAAAACTTCTTACCTCTTGATAGTGTCATCATCTACTAATTAACTTGAATAATTATATATTCTCCTATGAGAATCCTCCTAGATACTTATAGAAAAAAATATCAAATGTTTTTCAGGCTCTTACTATATTAAGTATTTTTACTTTTCCATTTAAATCATGAGGATAAAGAAGAATTAGCTAAGAGAATATAACATAACTCCTATGAATTGTAATACACATTGCAGGGGAAAAGCGGTGTTTGGATCAAGTTACCAATTGCACTAGTTAATCTTGTTGAAACTGCAATTAAGGTAATCTCTCCAAAACTATCAAGCCATCATAAGATTGTTTATGTTCTCTAACTTTGAAATTCAAATGGGAATGTTTGTCATATATCTTATAGAAGCCACACAGGTTAGCTAGCTTGATTTTGTTGATCCTCTTTTTGTACACCTTTTGTGTGAAATTTGGTTTAAAATAAAACCTAGGCTGATTCTATAAAGCTAATAAACATGTTATCTTATGTTGGTCACATATCTTTTCAATAAATGTACGTTACTGGCAGGAGGGTTTCTGGTACCACCATGCTGAACCAAGCTATCTCATGCTAGTTTATTGGATTCCTGAAACAGGCTGCACAATCCCGCCAAATGCATCCCACCGTGTAAGGGTCGGCGGTCTTGTCTTAAACAATAAAAAAGAGGTCTGAAATGAGAATGCTTCTTTGATCTACGCGCTTGCTTTCAAATACACAACCTGGTTTCACACTAGCTAGCTGTTATAGAACTTTGATTATTTTTCCTCTTTTTATTTTCTCTGTTTTTGGTGGGATTCTAGGTGCTTGTAGTCCAGGAAAAAATAGGTAAACTCCATGGTATTGGCGTTTGGAAGATACCAACTGGAATAGTTGAAGCGGTATGAGTATTTTCAAAGAAAATTTTCTCCCATCATGTTGAAAATTAAATTCCAATTTGGTCAGATTCGTGAAACTAACATGGTATAACTTCAGGGTGAAGATCTTTTAGCCGCAGCTGTCAGAGAAGTAAAAGAAGAGACAGGAGTAAGTGTCAAAGTAGAAAGTTACATTCCTATTTTATTCTTGAATGCGCTTTGTGATTTTGCATTAATTTAACTTTAAATTGGTCTATCTTTTCCCCTTGTCCAGATTGATACAGAATTTGTGGAAGTACTAGCATTCAGGTCTAAATTTTATATAGTCTGTTATATCTATACGTACATTTAGACCTCTATTGAAGTTTTACTTTAAAAACTGATCTATCTCTCTTGTCCTCCACCTACCTTATCTTTTTCATGATTTCAACTTTGGAAATTGCAAAAGTCAGTCTTTCTTATTCCTTTTTTTTTATTTTTTTTTTATTTTAAACTGCTCATGTTTATCATTTTCAGACAATCGCACAATTCACTCTTTGGAAAATCGGACCTATTTTTCCTTTGCAAGTTGCGTCCTCTTTCTAGAGACATCAAAAAGCAAGATTTGGAAATTGAGGCTGCTAAGGTATAATTATATTTGACAAAGTCACCTTATATATCTTTCATTGGTTTTGATGTAGAGATCTCACAAATGATATTTTGCCACGATAAAAGCAGATCACATATATGCATGAGGGTGATATATACTTTCGTAACATAAATGGAACATTCTTCTTCCAAACTGTAGGATTTTTATTGACTAGCTAAAAGATGAACCTAGCAATTAATGCATATCAACCTTAACGTATGTTGCTGCTCATGATCAACAACGTCTAATGGCAAATGTACTACAAAATTCTTAACTGAAAATGCAAACGAAAAATGACTTCCAATATGGCCTTCTGGTGTGAATGTGAATTGTGAGTGGGTGACATAATATAACAGAAGGTTGAATTACTAATTATTCTCACACGTTAAACACTGTTTGGTTGATTAAACATCATGAGACACATTAACTATATGACCACATGATTTACATGGAAATTTTGTTCCCACCGTTGAAATTGACCCTGGAACTTATAATTAAGAATGATATATGGATTCTTGACTACATGCACCTACGTTAGAGGATTCTTTTTGTTCCAAGTTTTTACACATGTTTAAGCTTGCAATTTGTCGAGCCTCACCTATCAAATTAATGCCCTTTTCTCAAGATGAGTCAGATATTATATGAAACCCTGAATTCAAAAGAGAGCACTTAACACGAAGCTAGTATATGCTGATTAACTTCCTACTATATATATATATATATATATATATATATAAAAATAAAAAGTAGGATTTTTTGATATCAGTGTCAAATTTAAAATTTGACACTTTATCTGAGAGTCATCGGATCAAAAAAGATCAATAGTGTCACATGTTTACAAATCAGAGTTGTCGATCTTTTTTTATCTAATGACTCTCAAATGAAGTGTCAAATTTTAAATTTCAGATTTGACACTGATGTCAAAGAATCCTACCTATATATATACGTGTGTGCGCGCCATTACCGTTGGCCAGTTGAATTGTCTCCCTTATGAATATAGTGCTATTATTACCAATCTTTTGCTACTTATTGAAATATATTGTCTATAATTTGCTTTGGTGTGCTTTTCCTTTTCTCACAAAGTGGATGCCATTTGAGGAATATGCTGCTCAACCTTTCACCCAAAAGCACGAGCCTTTCAAGTACGCATGTGAGTTATGCTGGGCAAAAATAGAAAGGTGCTACGCTGGATTCTCACCACGACTTATCTCGTCATATTTCAAGGAGCAGTTGAGTTATCTTTATTTGAATAGCCATGACCTGGACAAGACTTCCAAGCCAGATTAGGTCTTGAACAAAAGTTGATATCGACGTTTCTTTTTAATGAAATGCTCGCTGCACCTTACTTTCTTGCTTGGTGCTTACTACACTGGGGTCCACCTCATGTTTAGCATTTACACTAAACCAGAATTTCTATGCTTTAGACATGTATCGCAGATTCTACATTTTGATTAATTACATCTTGTGCAAGACTTAAATAAAAATAATCCTACCGTTTGGTTTGGGAGAAAAAAAAAATGAAACGGTGAAAAGTAATTTAATTTTTTTATTCTGATGATAAAAAAAAGTAAAAAAAAACTAATTCAAAGTTTTGTGGTCAAATTTTATCTTATTTTAAAATTTAAAATCTTTTTCCATCTTTCAATATCTTTATGGGAAAAACAAGTATCTTATAAGATAATTATCTTGTTATGCTACAGAGACAATAAGTGTCGAGTTCATTATATTTAAAATAATAAGAAAAGAAAAAAGATACAACACACGTATTGATGTATGTGTAAAAAACTTTACATAACAAACGCAAAACCCTATCACCATGGTCGTAAAGATGATAGAAAAGATAGAGTGATGTGCAAAATAACGCGCACGTTTTTTTTCTTCTTCAAATCTTCCATATACAATAATTTCTCAAAGAGACATTTCCTTGAGGAACTTTTCATCTTTTCTAGTCATCGTTATGTCGAACTCCATTATTAACGATAGTACAGGATAAAAAGTAAATAGAGAGAGGGAGAGAGAAAAGTAGAAGTCAAAAGGAAAGGTTGAAAATTCTGTTAGCACAGAGACTCATGCAAAATGGTGGAGATTTGTGTGTGCTGCTTCAATAATATAATGACAAATGTATGCCGAAGAAAAAGTGGCGAGAGATCCAAGACGATATTAGACAGGTGCTGATTACAAATCAAAAAAAGGAAATCTAGGACACTCTTTTCCCATAAAGCCTTGTCACAACATCATTTCAATCATCATTTCTTTCTTTCTTAGTGAAAGTAATGTGAAATAAGAATTTTGTTGGAATTTCTTAGTAAGAAAATAAAATAAAGAATGAACCTGTTTTATTCAGTGAAATTTATGTTGGAATTCTCTGATAATTAGAAGTCGTGATGGAGCATGAATCTTTTTCTTTTTCTTTTTGGTTTGTTGTTTGTACACTGTACCAGACCCAATTGGAACGCCATGAGAACACGTTGCTCAGGCAAGAGAATGATAAGCTTAGAGCTGAGATCATGTCTATTAGGGACGCAATGAGGAATCCTGTGTGTTCAAATTGTGGGGGTCCAGCTATTATTCGTGAGATTTCACTTGAGGAACAACATCTTCGGATTGAGAATGCTCCATTGAAGTACGAGCAAGACCGTGTTTGTGCACTTGCGGGCAAGTTTTTGGGTCGCCCCATTTCTTCATTGACAAACTCAATTGCTCCTCCATTGCCAAATTCAAGTTTGGAGCTTGGTGTTGGAGGCAATGGTTTTGGAGGGTTGAGCACAGTGCCTGCAACATTGCCTTTGGGGCCTGATTTTGGGGTTGGGATGTCTAACCCTTTAGCCATGGTGTCTCCTCCAACTAGACCATCGGCCGCCGCGGTCACCGGCTCTGATAGATCAATAGGGGGGTCTATGTTTCTTGAGCTTGCTTTGCTTGCAATTAGACACGTGCAGAATAACTAAAAAATTGAATCAAACAGGGAACTAAACTGAAATTACACTTAACGTAACTATTTTTAAAAAATCAGGTGATGAACCGAATCGATTTTTAAAAAATCAGTTCAAAAATTGCACTATTTTCAAACTGAACTGAATTGATTTTTATTACTTTTTCTTTAATTTTTGAATTTTTTTCTTTCCAAAATAAGATTGACCTTAAGAGGCTTTGAATCAAACCGAACCGAATTAATTTTGAACTTAACCAAACTATTTAAATCAATTTGGTTCGATTTTTTTAAAAAAAAATTATTCAATTCAACCCATACACACTGAAATGGATGAGTTGGTTAAGATGGCACAAACTGGTGAGCCTCTATAGATTAGATGAGCCTCACTGCCAGACCTGCTTTCATGTTCTTTTTTCTGTTGTTTTTTTAAGGGTAATTTTGGTATTTTAAAAAAATTAACTATGCTAATTTTAGTTTTGGAAGGAAAATCAGGATAGGAAGATAAGTGATAAAGAAACTTTAAGTAGGAGAATAAATAATTAAAATTTTTGGGGAAGGGATAAATAATTTTGAGGAAATTTAATGGGAAATTTTTGAAATTTGCCTTAATTTTTATGGTCTCTGCAATGCAATCAATTGTGATTTTTTTTTAGAAGAATCAATTATGATTACCGATTTGGCAAAGTGCAGGCTAATATGATGATCAATTTGAAGATACTTAAAAGTGAGCTAATTCAGCGATTCATTTATGCCCGCAATATTTAATAGTTTAATTAGTGAAAGACCTTTTTGTTAAATGTGCTTTTGATAGCAAGATGCCAAAATCCAATAATTCAAAGCTCGGACTAAGTTTGGCTGAATTCTATTAGATTCATATGAACGACTTTTTTAATATCATTTTCTCCAGCTAAAATTAAGTTATTTTCCCCTTAATTCCATTAACTTTTATATTGTGACAGAGTGAAAGTTGTAAAGGAAGACATAATTATTTGAAGAAATTGCTTAATACAATCAGGATATAATAAATTTGAAACTTATCTTATGTATTTGGTGTCGTATAATATACATATATATAGTAAATCTCTAGCTCATAATAGATTATGTAATATAATACGGATTTTCATAATAAAATAAATCAAATTATTCATTTAATTCATTTTACAAAAACAAGTACACTAATAAAAACTCAAACCCAAAACATTTCTAACAGCACAACGACAATTGATGCTAAACTGAAGTAATATAATGATCCGAAACAGAAGAGGTGTTTGTATAGAGTAAAAGAATTAGTTGGATATCTGTATTATATATTCAATAATCAATATATAAAAAAGAATTACTAACAATAAATAAAAGGAAAAACATCTATCCTTTTAAAGGATATAAGTTTATATCCTTTTAGATCCTAACCGTTGATTTCCGTCCATCAACGGTTATAATCTATTGGGCCAAACTTAATGGGCCAAATTTATTATTAATTAATTAATAATTTTAATCCAACAGATTATAACCGTTGATGGACGGAAATCAACGGTTAGGATCTAAAAGGATATAAACTTATATCTTTTAAAAGGATAGATGTTATTCCCATAAAAACTAATTCACATTCTCTTTTTAACATTTTTTTGTCAGTTATCGAAATTTCATGCTAGCTTCGCTAATAAAAAATAAACTGGATAATTTAGTGGGGCTAACATGAAATTTCTCCTATAATTTCCTATTAATTCTTATGGGCTACAATGAAGTATAGTTTTTCATTTTTGGGAAAAGAAAAAAAAGGGAATAATATGATGATTCATTTGAAGAAATATACTTAAAAGTGGACTAATTTAGTGATTAATTTTAAAGAGTTTGGGATATTTAAAACTTTATAATTGGTGGGGTTAAATAAAATTAGTGTAGACCTTATCTTAACATGCATACTTTTGATAGGAAGTTCCGTTAGGTTATGTTCATGTGTTGTGTCTCCTATGCACTCCATTAACTTTAATTTATATTATAACTCTTCGAATTGCTTCATATATATATAGGGGAGAGATCTTCTGACTCTAGACTAATACTTACAACTCTTACTCTTCATTTCAACCGTTGATTTCTGTCCATCTAACGGTTATCTATAACAATTAATTAATTAATTATTTCAAATAAATAATAACAGTTAGATGAACGGAAATCAATAGTTGAGATGGAGAGTAAGAGTTGTAAGTTTTACTCTAGAGTCAAAAGATCTCTCTCCATATATATATATATATAGATTATCGATGTAAAGGAGAGTTGTAAAGGAAGACGTAAATATTTAAGAAAAAATAGCTCAATGCAATCATGATATGATATGATAAATATGTAACATATGTTGAGATATATAGTCCCACATTGGTTGTATGTGCAACTAATGTGGAGTTTATAAGCTCTTCACATCTTCCTAAGGTTCTTTGAGCTAGTTTTTGGTTGGTGTATCTCAAAGTATCCCAAGGTTCTTTAGAACCTTTCTTGATATTCTTGCTATTTTATAACCATATACATATATATGGCATCACAATTATAATACTTGTTGATAAGAATGGAATTTTCACCTAGAGGGGTAAAACAAACTTAATATTCAACTGAATAGAAACTCAACTATGGGATACATGAGCTCAACTAGTTTGAACCGAAGGTGTCATAGTCGGAATAGTCCGAGCAAAGAGGTATATGAAGAACTCGATCAGTCACTAAAACGCAAGGAGAAAGAGTAGCAGTATCGGTGAAATTGCGCAGCCCGCAGAAAAGGGATGTTTATAGGGGTAGTTGGGCCCACCTGCAGGGTGTGGTCAGCTCATACCTCATGACTTGAGAATGTGCAAGGGATCGAGTGATGTGATAAAGTCCAAAATCTTGTGGTGAAACCAGTGTTAATAAAATCGGACCAACCCGGCTGGGTCGATCCGAGAATTGATAAACCGGTCATATAACTGATCCGGTCAAAACAACGAACCAGGCATACATCAGAACTGGTGCGGCCCGGTCCATCGCCGATTTTCATGAACATTTTGTCAACCAACAATACATCCAATAATTGCATTTGTCATTTCATCCAGAACTCTTATCTAGAACATTTGTCATTTCATCCAACAATACATAAAGTGTTATAAAGAGAGTGTCAAAGGGTATACATATTGCAAGAAAGAATTAAATAGTTTCTTTTGTTATGATAGAGTAGTTGATTCTCTGGAGCTCCTGCAAATGGTTTGGTTAAGCTGAATGTGGACGGATCATGTGCTTCTTTAGGGCAGTGCAAGAGTGCTAAGGGATGCTGGAGGAACCTAGTTTAAAGGTTTTTCTAGGAACCTGGGGGGTTAACGATTCTCTCCGTGCT